AACCTTTTTTTTTTTTGGTTTTTTCATAGAGAAACTTATTATTTATTAATTTAAGTATATAATTCTCTATTATTAGTTCAATTATAATTTCAATTCCAGCTTTTGGAAAAGGACCCGAAGTTTATCGAACAATGATGAGCAGTTAGGTTGATATAAGTTGATATTTAAAAGTACAAGAACATGAAAAATATGCAAGATTTAAAAAGATGCATTTTCATGAAAAATATCAAAATTAAAAATAAATTCTAAAATAAAATTTCTTTTATAGAAATAATATACTATAACCAGTTAGAATTTAATTGATAAATTTTGAGAACGTAAACGTAAAGCAAAAAATTTACATGAATTTTGACATATATTGTTCGGCAACGAATAAAAAGTCTGTTTGTTACATGTTTACAATATAATAAAGTTGAATCATTTCGTTAAGACACACAATCAATTAATTATTGAAAACGTATGAAGTTTGAAACTTACTTGTCTAGCCACTAATTAAGAAATATTAATTTACAAGTACATTATGGGAAAAACAAAGATGCCAAGCAATTATTAAGAAATAAAAAGTATGAAATTTTATTTCAATTTAAGTTTAGATATTCAAACACAATTACTTGTAAGTTGTAGAAAATTATTTTACTTACCAGCAAATTACAATATTAAAAACCATTGTCTCAATGTAATAATCAATTTAGTTTTTTTTGTATTTATAAGTAATTTACTAAATATATTTAACTTATAAAGATATATTAGAATAAGAGTATACCTCGTCTTAAATCAAATAGTTGTCTTGATATAGTTTTTAAAGATTGAATTTTGACTTATCATTATTATTGTTTGTTGAAGAGTACAATTTTTATAACAAATTGTCCCTATCCAGAAAAACAGGTGCAGTAATGACACCTGCCCATTGTGCTTTGGACAAGTTTCATTGATATGAGAAACGGCTTGATTTAATTGGCTTGGGTATTGATTGGGTTTTTGGAAGAAGGGTTTGAAAGGGCTGGGTTGTGAGAGACGTGGATTGTAGTTTCTTGGGCTTGTCCTTGGACAGATAACAACCTTTATCTGAAGTTAAATTAATTGTGTTTAAGGTGAGTTGGTAGGAAATTAATGTCAATTTGGTTTACCGGAAATTAATTTTAGTTCAGCTGAGTAATGCTGAATATAACCCTTTTATGGCATGGCATTGTTTTAAAAGGATTTTTTTTTCTTTTTTGTTACTTCACAAAAGTGGTTTGATTGTTGTGTTGTTCTTTTAGGGTAGTTTTTGAATTGATGATATATTTGTAAGTTTAATTTGGGCAATGTACTTTGCCATGTGTAGACCTTTATGCTATAGACAATGGGAGAAAGAATCATCTTTGATGGAAAATGTTAGGAAACAAGACTTTTTTTTTTTTTTTGTGAAAGTTGGAGTTTTATTGATGAAGGAAGCTAGGATGACATGAGGAATCTTAAACAATAGTGGTAAAAGACTCTTCTTGATATAGAAGTCAACTTTTAAAAAGATCCTGAACAGTACAAAAGCAAAGGAGCTGCTCAAAAAGCTATTGGAAGCAACAGGCCTTCTTCAATGGAACCAAAAGAAGTGAACTACTCCGACCTAGCAGCTGCACAAGTCTCAAAAGTCAGGAGAAAAAAACCAATGGTAAAGTCTCCTTGGTTCAGTCATTCCTCTTGAGGCTCTCAATGCAGCAGCTAAACACGAAGCCTCCCTGCTAGCAGCGTCACCCACCCCCTTATCAAGCTCAACGTTCATCCCCGATAACCCAAGCCAAAACGTGACGCCTTGGCAAAGTCATCCCACAAAGGAAACAAGACCTTTAATCTTATTTGTTTCTTATCCTTTGGTTTAGAATTTTATGATATAGAGAATTGCAGGCTAGAGATAAATCTTGTTGTGGTGATGAATGTACTGTTTTATTCACAGTTAAAGTTGAGATCAATTAATATAGATAAATATGCAAAGGTTGTTTGCTATGAATAGGTTCTTTTGACAGACCTGATTCAATCTCTTTTTCCTCTTCTAGCTAAAGTGATCCAAACCTTCTCCACATAAAGTTCAAATCTACTTTGCTTAAATAAAAAAATAATATTAATTTCATAATATGCTTATAAACTGGTTTTCTTTGCAGTTCAAACATTTCCTTTTTGATTAAGGTTACAATTGCCTGAACAATATATTCACATGTATAAATATATATTGTATCAACATAAATATATAATTAATTGAACACGTAACGTGGATTATATATTTTAAAAATTTAAAAATTAATAAGATGTGACATTGTTTTAGAAAAATGTCAAACAGGATATTTCTATTTCTCCAAGGTAAACTTGGCTTATGTCTTTTGCAGCAACTTTTACCCACGATAATTTGCGTTTGAAGCCTTTGCTATTGCCATGAGAATCACGTGCGAATAAGATTATTCGTAGTGTACTTCCAAAGTGGCCAAAATAAACAATCGGCACACTCTCATAACTTGTATCTGTTACGTGCAGTGACCTTTCCGTCTCTTTATCTTTCTTTCTTGACACAAACTGTTTTTTTTGGGCCGCTCTAGTGTTTTTAGGAGTGAAGCAGGCCAAAATTACAGTAAAAATGAATCCTACTAAAAATGTGATTCAACGCTGAAGTTCCTAATTTGGTACCAATGTGTGTCAGTGTTACTGTATATAGGCTTACTGATTCGTCTTGCACAAAAAAGACCTCTTGGTATGCTTTTCTTATTCAAAACCACTATCTAATTCGAGTGACAACGACAAATTTGATAAACAGTGGAAACTCTACTAATTAAGATGATATACCAGCTAGCGTGGTTTTCGTAAAATGTCTGGGATGTAAGTGTTTCTTTGTGCTGGCAATGTGCTTCTGACTATGTTGTAGCAGCACATTCTGGAGGGAGTCCCTGAGGGAATCGCTCTCTGTCAATGCAATAGTTGTAAACCATGTAATGCTTCTGCACCCACAGCAACCTTTCCAGGCTTGCGGCATCCAGCTCTTTTGCCAGCCACGGATATGAATTGCAGGGATAAGTCCCTACCCCTGAGGGCCAAATGCAAGCTTGTGTGCTGAAGTTCTTGTAGGAAGCTGTGAAAGGAGCTTTGGTCCAATCTGTTTTGACAAGGCCACCTCTTGTTGCCCAGTCATCAGCATTCCAAATACTAGAATGAATTCTCATTGCGCTGCTCTTGGGGAATGGAACTTTTGTTGAATCCAGGTTCTTGAACTCTCTAATGGGGGTTCCATCAACATAGAAGCTGGGATGCATACACGAAGTAAGAAGAGAGGGTGAAAAGGAAAGAAAAGCAACAGGGTAATTCACTATGAATTTAAAGTTATTTAAGGGTTCTTACACGATGACATGGGGATTCCAGAGGATGGAATAGGTGTGGAAATCTACCGTAGGGTCAAACCAGAGGTGGAATTGTTGCTCTCTGTCTCCTTTACCTCCGGTAATTACATTAGTGTGAACAGTATAAGGATCACCAGTCAAATTCCCTAAGAACTCGAAGTCTATTTCGTCCCATGTTGATCCTTTTGAGGC